TTCGTGCACAGTGAAATCATGATTCAATCATTGTTAGACTAACAGCATTAGAAACCTGGAAGCACTGGACGTCGGTTTTGTCCTAGGTTAGGCGTTCGCACGCAAGACCGATGATCCTGGGTTTAAATCCTGCGCATAGCAGGAGTTGTAGATGCGCACTGCTGACGAGTCCCCTACCAGCAGGAAACGGCCATTCAGTGGTTCTAGGTTTCAGGGTTCGAGTCCTGCAAGTGGCAGGAGTCGTAAATACGCACTGCTGATAAGTACCTTATCAGGACGAAACGGCTGCCCGGTACTTTTAGGTTTCCGATGCTAATCTATTAATGGTTGAATCATGATTTCAGTGTGTACTGTGTACAACTACTTTCAATAAAAATAGGTTGATATTTTTTTCTCACTCCCCTTTACGCCACGCTGTTTGCTTCTATTTTCTTGACACTTCTCCTTCTGGTACTAATATATGACTGACTCTTCAGTGCATGCTAATTTTTTAGGCCATTTTGTCAGTAATATCGAAAACAGAATCAACTTAATTGGTTTAATTTGTAAACTCACATTTCAAAATCCGATTGTTAAATTAAAATACACTTAAGTGAGATTGAACCCTTGATAAAAAACTTGAGTTTTAGTAAAAAAGATGTACAGCTCAACCGTAAGTACTGTTATTTCTCGTTAGTCATGCAATTAACTTTAATTTGTGACGGTCATATAAATAAGATTACGAACATTATTTGAAATTAGTGCAGCTCTACTGAGGTTACATCTGATCCCGAGCAGGGATAAAGGAGGAAGGTTGGGCATGGAGTTTATGACCCCATTCGGTAGAAATCCAACAAGCTAACTAAAAAACTGTTGGAGAGGTCAGATCCTCAGAACTCACCTGGAAAAGGTACTGATTTTGAATTTTTTTATGTTTTCACGCATAAGTTGCTCAGTTGACCTTGAAATTACATCTTCCACTAGGAAAATCCTTGTCTGTCAATGGTTGGTGGTTTATTTTAGTACGCTATTTTGCGGCTCTCTCAAGGACATTTCTATCATGTATAAATAAGATCAGTTTTTATGCTTCTTAAACTTGTATTTTGTGGATTCTTGTAAAAAACACTTTTTATGCCATATCAAGACTTTTTCCTATAGTTAGCAGGGCCTTAGGCAATCGTAATAGCCTATCGTGTCACTGGATCATTTGTCTTCGCTCTCGTTTACCGAAGAAGGTTAACTCGAAATAATTTCATACATATCAACTGATAAGCATATCAAAAACGCTAACCACAAGAAAGTAACTTGCTGGTCGGTGACCTATGAGCCACTAGAGTTAACAGGCATAAGTTACAAATAAACAATGTTGTAAGTCGGCTCTGTGTTCATGAGGTTAAGAGTCCACAAGACAAAGCGAAATTCCTTCGTTCTATCCCAAAGTGAAGGGTCGTGGATATGCACTGATTATGAGTCACATACTACAAATTAACAGGTGCCCAGTACTTCCATATTTCAAATGATAGTCTGACACTGATCGTTTCATGATTTCTATGATTACCACTTTGTCAAAGAAAAATTCTCTGTAGGGATCTTAAAGATTTTGACAATTTTGACTAACTGAAACTGCAATACTCTACTCGAATTCTTATTTGCGTAATCAAATAACTAAGGTGAATCATATTTTTTTCACAGTTTCATACTAATAGTCGACGTTTCCTTACTAATATCATTAACCTTTAATATACTTGTTCAATGGAAAACAGTGTACAAACAGTGTTCTTACTTACAATTAACCATACACTGCTTTTCTTGTCGAAAACTTACTAAACTATACTAATTTGCATTATTACTAGTTAACTGACCACTGAAGGTGTTTACAATGTATCTGAGTGTTTGTAAACTAACTATTGATCTAATATGGGTCTAAATGTGTGTGGTTTTCTTCATGACACTCTCATGTGTATATTTGTTTGTCGGGAAGATTTGTGTTTTTTCAATCTGACTGCCTACATGTTAATGCACAACACATAAACCAATGACTGAGCACTAATGAACCAAGTTCCTAACTAACCTGCTTCGTGAGGGAGTACCCAATGTGCTGCTAGTGAGTGTGAGGCAGTTATCCACCGAAAACAATGGATGATAGTCACACAATATGGTAGATAGGTAGTTAGATAGATAGACAGCTAGATAAATAAACATATCAGTTGTTCAAATGAATCATACTACTTACTATAAATTAACTAGTAGTATTGAATTCATATACTTGTCATTTATATATTCGATCAAATCTCCTATTGTAAATTAAGTGGCAAGTTTTTTGGATTTAACATGTTTCTATTAAACACTAAAATATTCCTCTGTACACCGAATAATAATAAATGACTGAATTGTGAAAAATTGAGGCACATTAATATCGATCGGTTTATTTAAGTCTCAATATCTATTACTGATATAGTCTACTACTGAAGTAGTATATCAAGACTGGAATGCATTCAGATTCAGTTGACGAATTTTTAAAAAAACCAAACATTACGTTATTCTCTGACCGTGGCTGCTACCCTGACGTGGTGGTCAGGGTGAAATGATCAAACCGAGCTATATTGGTTGAAACACCTGCTTCTTTGGGTCTTACCATGCCAGGCAGGTCGACTGGAGAACGGTACGACTAAAAGCAGCTATTCAAGGTCTGAGGGTGAAGTCGTTTGGCGGACTGTAAAGGGGTGTGACGGGCAACCCGCATCTGAAGTGATTCTGCCTTCTTACAACGGAAGTAAGGTGTTAAAAATAGGTCGACCCTAAAAATGTCACACCTCATCTTACTTCATGGATTTCTTTCTCCGGCATTAAGGCCAATTGAAGAGCGGAGCCAACACTTTAGAAAGTACCCATAAAAATGTCCACTTGTTACCGGCCTCAAGTAGTTGTCCCTTGGACTTTGCCGTCACGCTTCTAGTTCTCTAAGAACAAAACTAATCTAACTTCCTTTTCAGGTTCCTCAAGAAACACCCTTCGACGATATGGGTAGTCAGGAAGTGCAATACGCCCTTATAGCCGTACCAACAAACGAGACTAACTTGTTTACAATCAAATCCTTCCTACATTTCATTAAACTAGTCACTGAATAAAATAAGTTTAACTCATAAACAAGACATTGGTTTATTGAATTTATCAATCGAACTGACTTTAAAGTGAACCTCCATTTTGAGTAAATAGACATTAAATTTTTCTCTAAAACATGAATCAATTAATGTTAGACCAATATTAGAAACCTAAAAGCAGTGGACAACTGTTTTGTCATAGTATAGGACTCATTAGCAATGTAGATCTATGATCCCGTCACGTGGGAATCGAACTCAAGGCCTTCGATCTCTCGCACGTGAATGCTTAATCTCTACACTACTAATCCGGTGTCCGCTAGCGTTAATCTCTAACTGCAATCAATCCAAGGTATTGCGCAAACTCTCTGATTGTCTTTGGTGGTGGGTAACTAACTGTCTCACACACACCCGAAATGGGTGAATTCTGTTCGTTAAGGGTATCCCTTTTTCATTGCTTTTCGACAAGTTTCAGTGGTTAACTAATTTAATAGTTCTTTTTTCAATTACACTTATGGAGACTAGTGTTTTTGCACATTTGAAATCATCAATCAATCATTATTAGACCACCATTAGAAACCTAGAAGCACTGGACAGCCGTTTCGTTTTGGGATGACACTCATTGAATCCTGCGAGTCGCGCATTGCAGACGAGTCGCATAAGAGGACGAGACGACCGTCCAGTGCTTCTAGATTTCTTTCTAATGGGGTGGTCTCACAATGATTGACTGATGATTTTAGTGTATAATTTGATCGTGACTGAATGTGAAAATTTTATCTAGAAATTAATATGAGTTATTGATTTTAAGTTTCCAGTTATTGATTATTTTTAAGTGTTCTCAAGTTGTGATCAACTTATGATAACACTGGATTTCGTAGATCGATAAATGCTTTCTGTTTTACCTATTGATTAGTCTGACAATAAATATGTAAAGGTTTTTACTTCCCTCCCAGAAGCTTCTTCATCAAGTGTGATTTGGTTGGTGCACGGTGTATGTTATCGGAGAATCTTGTTTTTCCTATTGTGTATGTTGAGATCTACTGTTACAGAGGTTCCTACTTCACTAGTTGTCTTCTATTGCATTTATTGTTGCGTGTGTGTTGGAAAAGCCAGGTTATCTGCGAAGTCCCGATCGTCTATCTGCGTCCTAGCTGTCCATAGAATACCGTGCTTCCTTGAGATGTTAACGTTTTCATAACCCAGTCAACCACCAGGAGAAAGAGGAGTGTGAGAGTAAGTAACCTTCCCTGACATCGGTCTTTACTTGGAACGAGTCTGCGAGCTGTTCTTCATGCACAATCTTCCATTCAGTTGACTTTTTCACAATGATCATCAATGATGCGACTTGGTCGGTACACGATTGATCCTTACGAAGTCCAGCCTGTTGATATCGAACTATGGCATCGACGGAATCTTTGATTCAGTTCAGCAATACTCTTTTGAAGATTCTGACTAGTATATAGGGAACAGTGATTCCTGTAAAGTTGCTGAGATTGCCTTTCTTTGGTATTTTAACGAGATGCCTTTATTTCCAGTCTGTTGGTACCTATCCTTCATCCCAAATCTTGCTGAAGAGAATTTGCACTACCTTTTCAGTTATTTTCCGTGTCTGCTTTGAATACCTTAACTGGTCCTTCTGCTTTGCCGCTCTTCATTTGTTTGATTGCCATACTGACCAACATTATTTGGGGGCTAGTCAATTCAAAAGTTCTTTGAATTGTTCTACTCCTCATTACTGATCACTTTACAACCAGACAAAGGTGACAAATGTAGGCATGATATTAGTCTTTCCAGCCCAAGGTAAATAAAAAACGCCCAGATTAATTTTCAATAATCAATACTCAACAAAGTATAACTCATTAGGTCTGTTTGTTCTAAACTCCGTTAAATTTTTTTCTCTAATTTTCTTCAATCTTATTATAGCATTTAAACGATTGAAAGGAATTCAACGTCATTGGTATGTATTTGAAGAGTCCACATTGAAATTATTGGCTTATCGTAATGAAATGGATGCAGCTATACCAGATAAGGAGCCATTGAAAATAATCAATATTCATGGAGCGGTATTTTACATTGATCCAGTTGAACATAATCAGTTTAGTATTATGTAAGTACAACAAATATAAAAGATTATCATTATGCTTGATTGCTTACTTACTTACTTACTCACTTACTTAGTTAGTTAGTTACTTATTTACTTACTTACTTACTTACTTGCTTACTTAATTACTTACTTACTTACTTACACACTTACTTACTTACTTACTTAATTAATTAATTAATTAATTACTTAATTACTTACTTAATTAATTACTAACTTACTTAATTACTTACTTACTTACTTACTTACTTACTTACTTACTTACTTACTTACTTACACACTTACTTACTTACTTACTTAATTAATTAATTAATTAATTAATTACTTAATTACTTACCTAATTACTTACTTACTTACTTACTTACTTACTTACTTACTTACTTACTTACTTACTTACTTACTTACTTACGACTATTACCTGGAATAGAGCATAGGCCATCGACCACTTCTGGTCAGGTGTACTTGCAGGTACCTGACTTTCTGCGGGATGGGGTCGTTAAGCCCGTACCCAAGTCTCCTCTTTCATCCGGAGTTGTGACCGGCAGTAACTTAGGAAGGCCTTCAGATGGAGTAATTACGATTGGTTAGAATTAACTGACGCAATGGGTATATTTGAACTGGGGAAATCTTAAAAAAATAATTATTATTTCATTTCCTTATGAAACGTTTTCATAATGCTTAACCAAAACCTTACCTGGAATAGAATTTCAAGATTGTCAGTTCTTATTATGAGAGCTTAATATGTAAATCACTGAGTAAACGTTCAGACTAGGACATTTCCCGCGCTGGTGTCCTTGTTGTTATCTGCTAAGAGGTTTTCTATTTGAACGTTTCGAAATTATCCTTGTGAAGATTAACTGAAATCAAGATTTTTTCAACTGATTATCAATCAGGTGTGTATGAAAGAGTTTGAGGAAACCTATGGGCGGCCAAATCAAAACATGGCACAAATTCATGAAATCATTGACAGCTGGGCTGAATGAACCATGTTGATAGATATAGTTCACGTGGTTGGGGTCTACGAGACAGTAGTAACCGATGATTAGATATCTTGAATGACATGGTTCAAAATTTTTTGCAACGGCGTAGATGAATCCTGTCATTATCTTCTCGCAAATCCCAAAACTTCTGGACTCCTCATCACCTCTATCTTCCTAGTTTTGAATTGATTTTACTGGATTATGCTTCTTGAATCATTTGCTCGAATCCTTTTCTTCCCCATTACCGCTGATTCTTCTACTGCCTGTGCTGCTTTGAGATTTGAATTGAAAATTCGATTTCTGTGTGCTTATGTGGTACAGCAACTTGAATTCTTGTAAATGTCGACATCTGACTCATTAAGCCGCCGTGGTGGACTTTCACGTGGAGTTAGCCCTAATTCAGAAGAACCAGCTTTTGAAGACGAATCCGCTGCCTTATTAGGTGATGACAGTCTTGATGAGGAAGAGGAATCTGGAGAGAATTTATTCGGTGATGACATGGAACGGGATTACCGTCCCATTCCGGAGCTTGACGTCTACGAGGCAGAAGGTCTTGCTGACCCAGATGAAGACCTGTAGGAATTATCACCGAATGCTCGAGCTGAAGCTGAACGTCAAATGAGACGACGCGACCGTGAGCGTCTACTTGCAACTGGTGAATTACGACGTGATTTTATAGCCGATTTGTATGGTGCAGAGGAGGAATACGAAATAATCCCTGCGCGCCGTAGTTTTGAATTGATTTCACTGGATTACGCTTTTTAAATCATATGCTCGAGCCCTTAACTTCTCCATTACCGCTAATACTTCTACTACCTCTTCTGCTCTGAGATTTCAACTGACAATTGGATCCCTGTATGCTTATGTTGTACAGCAACTTGAATTGATGTACGTAAGTACATACGAAGTTCTACGTTGTAACTGACCAAAGGACTGACTATGTATGAAAGATCATGTTTAATTTATCTGGAGTTTGATGCTATTGCTAGACCATCACCTGACAACACTGGACAGACCATTATTGTAGAAGAATTTCTCGGAGTTCTACTGAGAAGCCATGTAACCAATGGAGTTCATCCATGTCGGGTGTAAACAGTACCTACCGAAGACAAATAGGTTAAGTGGAGCGAAATCCCTAGATTGATCAGAGTTAGACATTATCACTCAGTCGGCTCAGTAGCCTAGCGATTATAAGTTCCAGTGAAAGGCCGAAGGTCCTTGGTTCGAGTCCTACGCGTAGCAGGAATCGTGAGTGTGTTCTGCTGATGAGTCCCATACCAGGACGAACCGGCCGTCCAGTGCTTCCAGGTTTCTAAGGGTGATTTAACAACGATCGATTGGTGGCTTCTATGTGTAATCTTTCCTTCCCTACTCACTATCCACTCATCTTTCGACCTAGTTAATTATTCGCTTATAACCTTAATTGTTCTTATTCGAGTATATTCGTACTTACTACGCTTATCACACATTTCTAGCTTATTTTGCCTGATTATAAATAGTTAACTATGCCTCAATCCTTTGTAATAGCTTACTCTCCTTCCTGACTTCTTTTCGCTCTGGTTTTACGCTTCATGTTTTCATATCACTGTGAATGATTGCTTGAAATAAACTTATCCAACTGAATCCGTATTTGGTTTCTCATAAAACAAGTTTCGGCTAAGTATGTTAGACGGAAGTTAAAAGAAAGATTTATTTCATAGCACACATCGATGGTTCAACCGAAGTGGAGTAAGATCGCGGGTCACAAAACTATATTCATGTATATATATATTCTTGGTTAACCAGCATCCCTACTACACTTGCAGGCCGCTGCATTTTAAGCAACACAAGGATTCTCACAAGAGCCCATTTTGCGATCACCCCTGCCCCATACGGGAGCGCATACGTTGTCTAGATTCATCTGCAGACAAATGGACATCCGAAAAGCACGCACACGAACAGTGGCCCCCGTTCGGGCATCAAGATATGTGAATATACTGACTTATGATGAAGAAATGTCACCAACTTCACCACATTGATCAATATTTGCAATTTCCATCTCCAAGTTATAGTATTCTTGAATTTTACAGTGAATCAGACATTTATGTAGTTTTTCGCACATTAAAATCATCAAACAATCATTGTTAGACAACTCCGTTAAAAACTTGGAAGCACTGGACGGCCGTTTCGTCTTGGTATGGGACTAATCATCAGTGCGCATCCACGACTGCTGAACCTCACAGGAACCGAACCCAGGACCTTCGGTCTTGTGCGTGAACGCCTAACCTCTGGACCATTGGACCAGGTTTCTAATGGTGGTCGAACAATGATTGATTGATGGTTTCAGTGGGCGAAAAAATTTAGATTGTTACTGAAACATGAAATTTCTCAAGAATCTAGATATATACCTTATTGGTAAATAATTCTGAAAGATAATTACTACGTACGTCCGACTACTATCGATCAAGAAATCCACGTTTACAGGAGTAGAATAAAATTAAAAAGATCGATAAAAGTGATAAAACTCATCAGCGGCATCAGTTCATGACGTAATTATTGATTATTGAACTAACCTATGATATTGAACAATGACTATGTTGTTGACGTCAACATGATTATCCGGATCAATCAATCACTGGAGACTTTGTACAAGAAAAACTCAGAATCGGGTTACATTAACGTAAGGGCATTCACTTATTAAATAACATTGATCGTTATCTGGACAGTATCATTGACGAGTGAGGTGGATCTGATGCAGATGTGAAGGCGCAGATCGGCAAAGTAAGGGCTACATTTCTACACTTGAATAACATATGGAACTCAATACAACCAACACCAAAGTTAGAATTTTGAATAGAAATGTCAAAACAGTTCTACTGAATGGAGTGGAACGTTTAAGAACTACGGAAGTCATCATCCAGAAGATACAAGTGTTTATGAAAAGTTGTGTAGGCAAAATACTTCGGATCCGTTGGCCAGACACCATCTGTAACAATCTACTATGAGAGAGAACAAACCAGATTCCAGTAGAGAAAGAAATTAGGAGGATAGGGCACATATTGAGGAAATCACTGAACTGCGTCATGATGCAGGCCCTCACATGGAACCCTCAAGGACAAAGGAAAAGAGTAAGACTGAGGAGCACATTACGCCAAGAAGTGGAGGCGTACATATGAAGAATAAACAACAGTTGAACAGAACTAGAAAGGAAGTCTGGTATGCTCGTCAAATGATATGCTTGAAACTATTACGAATTCACCTTAGTCGGTAAACGCAGAGAAGACAAATAATTCAGTGATACGATAGGCTATTCTAATCCGTTGTCCCCGGCCCGGCTAACTACATCAAAAGTCTTGATAAGGCATAGAAAGTGTACTCTACAAGCACCGGGAAAACACGAGGTCAACAAGCACACAAATCGAGCATATTTATACATGATAGAAACGTTCTTGGCAGAGTGACAAAAATAGCCTACTAAAATAATCCATCAATCAAAGACAGTCAAGGATTTTCTGATGGAGAAATTAAATCTCAAGGTCAACTTATGCGCGAAAACATAAAAAAATCCAAAATTAGGACCTTTTCGAAGTGAGTTCTGGGGGTCTAACGTCCCCAACAAAGTCTCAGGACAGAGTAGGTTGAAGAATGCTTGTCAGCGGCCTATGCTGTCTTGGAGGATGACAGAGGAGTAAGTAAGTTAGTAATTTGGTAGGTAATATTGATTGTACACAACAATTCAACTTTAAAATTGATAATATTTATTTTTTTTCTTGTTGTCTGTTTATAGTTCCGATGGCAAAGAACATATTCTTCAAGCAGAAACCGAGGATGCAATGCTATTGTGGCTTCATGTTTTACAAGTAAGATTCTGTCGATAACAAGTTCATTACAATGTCTAGTTTATAGCTCGATTAAACTTATGGTATATGCACTGTTAAGTATGGGTTAGTAGTAGTAGTAGTAGTGTGAGTAGTAGTAGTAGTGTGAGTAGTAGTAGTAGTGTGAGTAGTAGTAGTAGTGTGAGTAGTAGTAGTAGTGTGAGTAGTAGTAGTAGTGTGAGTAATAGTAGTAGTAGTGTGAGTAGTAGTAGTAGTAGTGTGAGTAGTAGTAGTAGTGTGAGTAGTAGTAGTGTGAGTAGCAGTAGTGTGAGTAGTAGTAGTAGTAGTAGTAGTAGTAGTAGTAGTAGTAGTAGTAGTAGTAGTATGAGATGTAGCCCAACTTGATGCTAATCGGCCCAACTAAACCGTTTGTCTTATGTCAGGACATGTGTTTATCACAATCGTGAAATCCTCATTTTTCCAATCTTATGAGACCAGTGTTATGGACTTAGTATCCTTATTGCTATATGTATAGAGCTGAAGGTTTCCTATGAGACTAGAGGTTTGTTATGCTGAACATTGTGAATGGTTTGACATCGCTGTGACAAGGTTTGCTAATAGTCCATATACAAATTAGGTTTACTTGGTTACCACTTTCATTGATACTGGTGGTCGCTTTGTAGCATTTCCGACGGCTATTATCATTACGATGCTGAAATGCATATCACCATTGGTCTGTTCATGCTGATCATATATTGACTGATGTGATCCGGGATAGGAAGTAATCATTGTGCGTATTGATGTACATCAATGGTGTGAATGGTCCATCAGGGTATCACATACCTATGTGGTGGGTGCACCCAAGGATTGATCTCTATTGTTCAGGTTGTACAGTCAACATATGAGTATGAGACTCCTTAAGAATTTACGCTTGCACTACCTCCACACGCAAATGCTTCACCTTTCAGACAAGGACGAAACAGCCATCCATCTAATACTTCCAAGTTTCTAATGATGGTCTCCATCTTAGTTATGAAACTATTCCTTTCTTTTTTATCAGTTTATGATTGACAATCTCTCCATATTCACGACTAATTTTGTCTTATTTATGTTTCATGATTGGATTGGTTTTGTACTTGTATAAACGAATCTTAAATGGCTGATCACTAGACCATGAACTGATTGAATTTAGACATTAACGCCATTAGATATCGGCTCAGTGATCCAGAGGTTAGGCGTTCGCTCTCAAGACCGAAGGTCCTGGGTTTGAATCCTGCTAGGTGCAGGAGTCGTGAATGTGTACTACCGATGAGTCCCATTCCAGGACGAAACGGCCGTCCACTGCTTCCAGGTTTCTAATGATGATATAACATTGATTGATTCATGATTTCAAATGTGTAACTTAACAATGTTCACAACCCTACAGTGAAGTAGACTTGTGTTCTGTATGTACGCCCGGAGCTAGTTGGTATTAGGCCAACCATAGAGTAGCAATTTCCTCATCTTTCTTGTTGTCTAGTTTCTTAAAGGTCAGAAAACACTGGATATCTGTCTAGTACACATATGACTGCGACTGATCCCGAAAATGAAAGTGAATGTCTGGTTGAGTCGTAAACCAGGTCGATAAATATGGGTGATTCACCTAGGTCAGTTGAAAAACTCTGGTTGTAAACATTTGGAGTTAAACACAGGTTCTCAAAACCTTAGGCAATCTAGTATCTTCAGTCTCATGCGTGAATGCTCAACCTTTAGACCATAGAGCCTTAAACCGACCGTGTGGGTTTCTTAGTGCAATCAATTCAAGTTGTTGCGCAACTTCACCCGTTGTATTCAGTAGGTAACTGCCGCTTATATCTACCAAGGTTGAACTCCACTGGTCACACAACTTCTCACTAGAACTCTGAGAATCTCTTCACAAAACTAGTCACCGATGAGTACATTTTATGATTTTTTTAAATTACGGAGTTAAAGAGATTGTTATAATTCATTGAAACAAACTTTTCACCGTATTCAAACAATGTTGTAATTTGTATTTCCTCCGTTATCATTCATATTTCAATCTTTCATTTTTATTTCACCTGATTCCTAAACTCTAGACAAGAAGAAATGAAGTAGAACCAACAAATGAAACAGAAATTTCACCGATCAATGATGATAATTTAACAGATTATAAAATGTTTCGTCAAAATTCACTCATGAAAATTCAAACGTCAATACCAGTAAGTAAATTGTACTTATCTCGAATTAACCAATCATATTACAGTAAATACAAGGACACATGATATTGACCAACAGAATACGACTTTCAATGTCTAATTTTAATTGTATTAAACATTACTAAAAATGTGTACTAGTACAAATGCATTTGGCATAATTTTAAAATCTCAGTAATTCCAGTCATAAACGAAAGAGAGAAATCCTAAGGTTGATCAGAAGTAGACCTTAATACCGTTGGATGACAGCCGACTCAGTGGTATAGAGGATAGGTGTCCGTGTGAGTCCGAATCCTGTGAGTAAAAAGAGTCGTGGATGTGCACTGCTGTCGAGTCGTATATCAAGACGAAATAGCTGTCAAGGGTTTCCAGGTTACTAATGGTGATCTAACAATGATTGATTCATGATTTCAATAATAAATTCTATGATGCAAAAATAAATCTTAATTCATAAGGATTAGTGTATTATCATTTGATAGTTGAATAAATGTGTTAGAGATGAAGTTGACCACTCAAGGTGTTACGCAAGCAATTCAACACGTCACTTGACATGTCTGAATGCTATTACGAGTTTATCTTTGTTGGAAAACGACAGCGAGGATTGAGGATCCGTCGACACGAAAGGCTATGCTACTCCAAGCGTCCCAAGGCCCCACCCACTAAGTAGAGGAAGAAGTCTTCATATGACGTGGAATGTTTAATTTACAAGCACTCAGAAAATATGGGGTTCCAAAGCACACAAATCAAGTTTCTTTATGTATGATAAAAACGTCTTTGGGAGAGCCACAAAAATAGCGTACTAAAATAATACATCAACCAACAACAGACAAGGATTTTCCTTGGTGGGTAATGCAATCTCAAGGTCAACTGATCAACTCATACACGAAACCGTGAAACCCAAATTAGGCACCTTAATCAAGTGAGTTCTAGGGATCCAGCGTTCCCAACAACTGGAATCTGAAATCATCAATCAATCATTGTTAGAGCACCATTAGAAACCTGCAAGAAGCACTGGACGGCCATTTCGTCCTGGTATGGGACTCATCAGTAGTGCGCATCCACGACCCCTACTCCTCGCAGGATTCGAACCCGGAACCTTCGATATTGTAGGCGAACGCCTCATCATCGGATCATTGGACCGGCATCCAACGGTGTTAATGTCTAACTCTGATTGATCTAGGGATTTCGCGCTACCTCACCCATTTGTCTTCGGTAGTTACTACCTACACCCGACAGGGTTGAACTCCATTGGTCACGTCTTCTCAACTAGAACTCGGAGAATTTCCTCACGAAGCTATTCGTGGATGCGCACTGCCATTGATAAGTCCCATACCAGGATGAAACGGCCGTCCAGTGCTTCTTGCAGGTTTCCAATGGTGGTCTAACAATGATTGATTGATGACTTCAAATGTGTAAAAGCACAAACCTCCAAAACTCTGCCCCAAAATAGGAATCTGGTTTTTTCTCCCTCCCACAGTAAGATGTTGCTGTTAATGTCTGACCAAGCTAGCCGCAATATCTTACGGATGATGGCTTTCATATTTATTTAAACCTAGTTCATCCCATAACAATCAATACTGCTTATCTCTTTTCTAATTTAACTTTTTTTCAGACCAAATTACCATCAACTACATCATTAGCTGAATTAAACGAATCTTTCACATCAAATGGTTCATTGAATAATTCACGTCAACAAAATATGAAAATTCGCAAATTAACAAAACAAGAATCTATTGAACAATTGAACGAAATTCAAGCGGCACTTCAAAACGTTCCGTCAGATCAACAAACATTAAATATATTTAATTTATCATGGATTTCATCTATGGATAATATCAGTAGTAGTAGTAGTAGTATAACAAATAATACTCAAAAATCCACATCAAAACGTTTATCATTCACTAGATCGAGTTCATATGATTCTGAAATAGTGAAACGACATGTTAGTGAAATACAATTGAATGAAAAATATTTAAGAACAAGTATATCAAAACCGAACAATAATAATAATTATATTTTACAAAATTCTATCGACCAATCAATTATGAAATCTATGTCACCTCGTGATCATATTATGAATGTACCAATTAAGGAAGAGAATGAAGATGGTTTAATTGATGAGAAATTGTGTTATGATCAAGAATTATTGAAAAAAAGTGAGTAAGTTTTGAAGGAAATTTTTGTATGAGCACTGGAATGTTAGATCATTGATGGGGGGAAGTGTTGAAAGCACTTGGGTAAGTATTACGTTATGGGATGAGATTCATCAATGAACAGTACGTATGTATGACCTCATACAAGGGAATTCAGGGAAGGACGGTCAGTTTGTTCTTGTGCAAAAATGCTTATCCTTTTTTACCGCTGAATTACCACACACAGGGGTGTTAATGTCTAACTTGACTCCATTCTTCATATGGTGTGACCATCATGCAATGTCTTCGGTGGATAACTTACCTTATATCTAACACAACTGAACTCCGCTGATCCCCTGACGAAGTAGAACATTTGGGAAAAATGATGTTGGAAATCATTACTTGGTTCATTAGTGTTTAGTCATTGGTTTATGTGTTGTGCATTAACGTGTAGACAGTCTGATTGAAAAAACACATATATCTTCCAGACAAACGAACGTAGACATAAAAGTGTCACGAAGAAAACCACACACATTCAGACCCATATTAGATCCACAGTTAGTTTACAAACACTCAGATACATTGTAAACACCTTCAGTGGTCAGTTAATCAGTTTAGTTTAATATCTTTTGGACAAGAAAAGCAGTGTGTGGTTAATTGTAAGTTAGAACATTGTTTGTACACTGTTTCCCATTGAAAATGTTTAATTAGAGGTTAATGATATTAGTAAGGAAACGTCGACTGTGAATTTGAAACTGTGGAAAGTAAAATTTATGTTAGTTATCTGACTACATGAATAAGAATTCAAGTGGATGTCTTTAATATTCCTACAGGGAATTCTTACTTTGATAGAAACTATGAATCGACCAATGTTAGAACACCATAAGAAACATGGAAGTACTGGGCACCTATTACGTCTTTAGTATATGACTCACCAGTAATGCGTATCCACAACCCCTAACCTTGGGATAGAACAAAAGCCTTTCTGTCTCATTTGTGGACCGCTTACCTCTTGAGCACAAGGCCAACTAACGACTATGTTTCTTCGTAACTTACGCCTGTTACCTCTAGTGAAGCATAGGTTGTCGATAGCCTAGTTTATCTTTTCTGGTTAACGTTTTTAAGTTGGCGTGTTGGATTTGTACGGTATAGGATCACTAACCCCATGTCCAAACCTTCCTCCTTTATCCCAGCTTGGGATGGGAAGTAAGCTCGCTGGTGGTACACTGTTCTCATTGAACATGTGTATTAGAGGTTAATGATATTAGTAAAGAAACATTGGTTGTCAATTTGAATTTGTGAAAAATATGATTCACCTTACTTAAGTTGATTATAAGAATAAAAATTCAAGTGCAGAATTGAGTTTCAGTTATGTAAAACTGTCGAAATCTTTATGATTCTTACGAATAATTCCAACAATCAACTGATCCTATCAGTTGGAACCATCAACCATTGTCTTTCAGTGGATAAACTGTCTCACATCCAATATGGCTGAGCTCCACTTGTCACTGTTTCGAAATAGAACTTAGAGTGTTAGATCAAACAACGGTTCGGATTACAATTCTACCTGACAACTTGACTTCCAAAGACATTAATCTCTTAATATTGCAGTCATGAATAAATCGTTGTTAGACAACTGTTAGAAATCTGAAAGCACCAGACGAACGTCATCATGATTTCGGCGTAAAACAACGATCTCCATAAAACTATGATGCAATATATAAAAAGATGTGCACACTAGTGACTAGCTTAGGGAAGAAATTATCGTATTTTCAACTCTGTCAGGTGAATAGGCAGTCACTGCCGAAGAAAATGTGTAAGATTACTCGAAATCCCTAGATTGATCAGAGTTAGATATGAACACTGGTAGATGCCATCTCAGTGCTGCAGAGGTTAGTTTTCGACGCGAAAGACCGAAAGTCCTGGGTTCGATTCTTGTGAGTAGCAGGAGTCATGGATACGCATCACCACTAATGTGTCCCATATTAGGACGAAACGGGCATCCAAATTCTTTTAGGTTTTGTTAGGTTCGTCACTAAGTGTGCTTGAAACTATTACGGGTTCATCATAGTCGACAAACGAGAACGAGACAATGAACCAGCATCCAGGTAGGGTACCCTGATCCGATGACTAACCAAAAAAACTTGATATAGCGTAGAAAGTATATTCTACAAACACCCAGCAAGCACAATGCATTTAAGCACACAAATCGAGTTGAATTATACATAATAGAAACCTCCTTGGAATAATCACAAAAATGGCACACTAAAATACACAGCAACCAATCGCACCCAAAAGTTTTCCTGGTGGAAATGAAATCTCAAGGTCCACTGATCAGCCCATGCTCGGAAACGTAAAATCCAAATTAAGGCACTTATCAAGCGAGTTCTGGGAATCTAACGTCACCAACAGGTTTCTATTTGTGTTTGTGTAAAAATTGTTCATTCATGAAACAACACTCTCCATAATACTGTAGTGAACGAGAACATAGGTGGGGCAACCGAATTGTATTAAACGAAAATTACAGAGTTACTCAGTAAAATCGGAAAACCATATCGTAAATCGTTAATTTGCAAATTATCAGTTCATCATATCGAACTGGACTGTTCCTGTTGCAAACAACATCAATCCATTGTCACTATTCATTCGTTTCATACAAATTCCATTGTGTTCCCACTCTACCTTTCTTCATCTTCTGCTGCCAGATATTACGTTTACACTCACGTCATATACTACTTATAAGTAGCTCGCACCACAATACTACAAAGCAAATTCAATCACTTCCAAACAAGTAAACATTACAATGGGATAGGCAACGCGTATGTTATTTATTAAAAGTCTTTAAGCATATTTGAAAATCAATCAGTCAATCAATAAAAATTTCTATCAAGTGCATTTGCTATGATATGATATTAAAAAGCCCAACCACATTCAAGATTATTGATCTTTGAATGAAAAACATGTGTCAAGTTTTTGTTAAGAAGATTTAATCAAGTTGTTTAACTCTCAATTTGAGAATAACAAAACATTGAGTTACATTCGTCTCTAGGTATGCTTAACACTATTACGGATTCACCTTAGTTGAATAACGAGAACGAGACAATGAACCAGAGTCCAGGTAGGCTACTCTGATCCGTTGACCCGTAGGGAACTAACGAAGAAGTCTTGATATAACATAGAAAGTGTATTCTACAAACACCCAGCAAGCACACACAATGAATCCAAACACACAAATCACCTTTGTGGTGCGCGCTACTTATAAGTAGTATATGACGCGAGCAAAAACATAACGTCTGGCAGCAGAAGATGGGGAAAGATTAAGAAAGGAAGAGCGGGAACACAATGGTATTCGTATGAAATGCATGAACAGTGAAATGTCAGACAGTGGATTGATGTTTTGCAACAGGAACAGTCCAGTTCGATATGATGGATTGATATTTTGTAAATTAACGATTTACGATATGGTTTTTCTATTTTAACAATTAACTTTGTAATTTAAGATGCACCCAAAGAGACGTCCTTGGGATAGTCACAAAAATAGCACACTAAAATAACACAGTGACCAATCACAGCCAAGAATTTTTCTGGTGGGAAATGTGATCTCAAGGACAAGGCGAAGATAAAGACATTTATCAAGCGAATTCTGGGGATCTAACATCCACAACACATTGTATCATAGTTGATGATGTCAGTTTGTATGAAAGAAAAGCCTAAACTTTAATTTAAAATAACCTAAGCTTAGAAATCCAGATTCATTGTCAAAACTTGGATCATAAACGTTTTATACATCAGAAAAAGTGAACGTCGCTTTTTTGTTTCAATTAAAAAGGAATAATTCAGCATATGAGAGTTGATATTGTTTTTCAATAAACACTAATAGTCCACTAATATTTTAATGTTTTAGGATGTTACTCAGAGAAGAGTAAGATTGCCTAACGTTAGACATTAACACCGTTAGATGCTAACTTACTGATCTAGTTGTTAAACGTTCGTGTGATAAACCGAAGATCCTCGGTTTGATTCTCACGAACTGAAGTCGTGGACGCACACTGTCACTGATGAGTCCCACACTAGGACGAAACAGACATTCAATGCTTCCAGATTTCTCATAGTAGTCTGACAATGATCGATTCATCATTTATAGACTGTCTTGTAAAATATCAAGTTTTTTTTATTTCCGCACGTACATGGATTGGATATTTACAACCTGTTAATACATTAAACGTTCATGTATCGTATATTGTTTTAAAAATCTCAACTTGAATATCAACAATGATTTATAGACAACTTCGATCAGCCAATATCAAAATAGGACTTAATATATATATATATGCCTAATCTCAAAGTTATTCCTTTGTTAAAGGTGTGAGAGATTCAAAAGTTATGATATAAAAACTACAATATTCAATATCCTCTCGAAAAGAAAAACATGTTTACTCAATTTCAAAAACTATTTCGTTCAGGATGATTTTTTTTGTGATATAAATGTGGTTTCCATGTTAAAACTAACTTTGATTCAGTTTTAAAAGTATTTTCACTGAAATGGAAGCATATTTTTAAAACTTTATTCATTATAGCTTAATTCGTAGCTTCGAATTTCGAATTACCACACTTTTGTTCAATGTTCAACATTCCTTTTTGTTTTGTTTGATTAGACCAAGGTCATATAATTCATCGATTGATTTTACAATTTCAAAAAAAATATATTTGTGGTTGACGTCATTAAGAGAGTAATTATTAATCAACAAACTTTGATAATATTCAGTTTTAGTTCAAGTCTAACTGAATTTCAATGATGTAACGTAATAGTTATCAGTGGAATCAACTGTAAACAGAAAAAAAAACAAGACCACAAAATATAAAATAACTGTTTTCATTTAATTTAAGAGATTTTAGTAAAATGAAATCAGATATAACATGAGAAAGTTGAATTCCACATTGAAACCATCAATGAATCAATGGGAGACCACCATTAGAAAGGACGATCTTCATCAGACTATGATGTAACTTCAGCCTTTGGTGATTAGCTCGGAGGTACCTTGTGTTTCCGGGGTTGTGTGGAGGAACAGCGGGTGGGATTATTTGTGAGAAGAAGGAACCAGAGATGAGACGACGACTCAGTAGGCACATAGAATGATGAACTTACTTACAGTAGAGGAATAAATAGCCAGCAACTAGAAATATAAAGCCAATGTGAGATCAAGACAAACTGATAGACGAAACTAGGAGTTGACAGAGTAAGGTTTCGAATAAAAAAAAGTATACTCACCTAATGACTGGCTTCGTGGGGGAAATTCCTCCGAGTTCAAGTGAGAAGTCATGTAACCAGTGGAGTTCAACCTTGTCGGACATATAAGAAGTAATACTATCGAAGAAAATGGGTGGAGTTACGCAAAGTTCCTAAGTAGAAAGAACAATTAAAAAACATAAACTCTTGCAAAGTATGACGAAGTTTACAACATTTTAACATACTTATTCATTGCATTACACTTGTAGTGCATGTACTTTTACGTAGAGGCCAACAGGGTTTGTCCAAATCATAGAACAAATTAACGAGTGCATTCTATCCGAGTTACTTGCTATATTCACTCGTCTTTTGATCTTGTCAACCATTCTCTATTATCTTAATTGTTTCTATTCGAGTATATCTGAACGCCGTTTACTTTGCTTATTATATGTCTGGCTGTTGGATATGTAAGATCCCAGAACTCACATGGTAAAGGTCCTAATTTTGGGTCTTTTCATGTTTTTACGCACACGTTGCCTATTTGACCTTCAGCTTACATTTCCCACTAGAACAATCCTTGGCTGTCATTGGTTGATGGATTCTTTTAGTAGGCTATTTTTGTCACTCTCCAAAGGACGTTGCTATCATTGTATAAATAAACTCGATTTGTGTGCTTGTTGACCTCGTGTTTTCTGGGTACTTGTAGAATACACTTTCTACGCCTTATCAAGACTTCGTGATATAGTTAGCCTAGCTAACGGACAAACGGATTAGAAAAGCTTATTGTGTTACTGGATCATTTGTCTTATCTCCGTTTACCGAGTAAGGTGAACTCATGGTAGTTCAAGCATATAAACTGACGAGCGTATCACTGGCTTAGGCATACTTCATCGCATGAGAGTTGACTCACCCACCTTCTACACTTCACTTCACTTCGCTTACAAGTTATGTATTCTCCTGTCTGACAGCATGAACGATTGCTTGAATCAACCTCATCCAACCGAATTCATGTTTGGCTTCTGATTACGGCCGTCGCATAAACGGGACTTGCCTAGGTACGATATACAGAAACTGAAGGGGAGATTTATTTCGCAGCATACTCGGACGTCAGCTCATTGGCTGCTAACGTAGTGAGCTGTACTTACAATCCGACACATCTATCTCTACCACACGCTCTGTTATTGTTTTCAAAGACCACTCTTAAAATCTAACTGATATTCGTCATTTTAGATACAACAATCATTTCTTGTTATTTCTGTTTTCTCTTTCTTATACACCCTTTTTTGTTTGATAAAAAATTTGAAATTACAGGCGGGAAAAATCGTAGTCTACCAAGAACAACAATGAAAGTATTAGATAATTTATCAGAAAATAAATTTCAAGTAACTACTAATCAACAACCAGGAGAATTGATGTGTAAGTGTTTACAGAAAAATTTCTAAATTTATCAAAGACATTAAAATAATAATTTGGTTTGTTTTTAAATTTGATCAATCTTGAATTAAACACTGTAACCATTGAACAAGCAAGTGATGATCAAAACACAGTAATGTTTGAATCAGACTCTCGTGGGATTCGGCTCCCCTAACTAACTATCAATTCTAGGGTATGGTTTGTCCATCCAGCTACAGATGACTCCCAAATAAGACGAAACGAGCTACCTGGATTTCCACTTCTGGCCAGATTCTTTCTATTTGTTAGGGTGTCCATCAAATATCCTCAAAAAAGTAATTTTGTGAGTCTAATTCTATTGGTCAATCCCTATTGGTCAATATTTGAGGTCGTTGCAAACTATCAGGTTCACATACTTTTCAATGTTGTTTCCTATTGGTTAGTATTCAAGGTCAACCAACCTGTATAAATATGCATTGTCTGTAAAGTTTAATGATCCTCTTCTTATTATCATTCAGTACAAAACCTCTTATTATTCTGGTGCTTTTAGAATACACTTTCTACGCCATACCGAGGGGCTAGCTTCGTTAAGAAATTCTCAGAGTACTAGTGAGAAGCTGTGGTCAGTAAAGTTCACCCTTATTGACAGAGAGACAGTTACTTACCAAAGATAATGGGCAATGTTCCGCATTACTTTGGATTGTCTAAGTTAAATATTAACTCTGTTGGATACCGCTTAACTTGTCTAGAGACTAAGTGTCCGCGCATGAATTCGAAGGTCCTGGGTTTGATTTTTCATTAACTGGGCTCGTGGCTGCGCACTGCTGATAGGTCCTATACTATGACGAACCTGTGTGGGACAGTGCTTCTCAGGTTTCTAATAGTATTCTAACAACTACCGATCCATGATTTCATGAATTCAAGTAACAAACTATCACAATATTTCCATAGTCGATGTCATTACATATACAAACATTGTTTTAAAATGTTAATCTACAAAATATTCATACAATAAAATAATAAATGGTTATTTGTTCTGTTCTATTACAGCACAAAATGATCTAAAGGCGAATGATGTAAATTTATTGAGCGAGATCAATAAAGAATCGAAGGAAAACATATGTACGTTTATGTAATGTGTGTAGTTATTTATAAATGATTAATATATGAATGTTAGGTGGTAGTCTAAGGAGGATCGAATGTGTTGAAGATGTTCGATCGCCAGAATTCACTTGATAAAGGTGCTAATTTTGGCTGATCAGTTGACCTTCAGGATATATTTTGTTATGCATGCACGTAAACGCGTCATTTTGATATGTTTGAACTATTACGAGTTTACCGTAGTCAGAAAACGAGAGTGAGAAGCGAGGATCCGGCGAGACGACATGCTACTCTAATCCAAGCATCCCAAACCCCTATTGAGTAAAAGAGGAAGACTTCATATGAAGTGGAACCTGTATTCTACAAGTATCCAAAAAAGTACGAGGTTCGAGTACAGAAGAAAATCCGGATCCCGGACTAGCGATCCGGGTCCGGGTAATAAAACGTTACAGATAATGCATATTTATACAGTTAGGTCAAATAGGAAACAACATTGAAGTCTGTGACAGTGACAGTTAGGATGACCAATAGAATTAGACTTACAAATAATTCTCTTAGGATATTGGATGAATATCCTAACAGATTTCCAACCCGGAAAATCCTTGGCTGTCATTGGTTGATGTGTTAATTTATTACGTCAATTTTGTGGCTCTCTCAAGGACGTTTCTATGAGGTATAAATAAACTCGATTTGTGTGCTTGCTGACCTCGCATTTCCTGGGTGTTTGTCTTGTCAAGGCTTCTTCTTCTACTTAGTGAGGCATTGGGACGCTCAAATTCGAGTAGCCTATCGTGTCACTGGATCATTTGTCTTCGCTCTCATTTACCGAATAAGGTGAATTCGTATTACTTTCAAGCATACTGACTGGTGGGAAACATAACAGGATTCTGTAACGCTTGCTTGAATAATTCCCAGCTAATTCCTATTGCTTAGTATTCTCTGACCACAATACACTAGACAAGTTCCAAAGAAATCAAAAACACGGTGGAACAGGAAAAGATTATATTCCAAGTAGTAAGGTTAAATGGAAATAAGAAGCCGAAAGCAAAATAGATACAACGTTAGATTCTTCATAGTATTTTCATGAGAAGCTTCTGGATTGTAATTCACGTGATCTACTGGATTAGATTTAGCCAATCAGCATGCAGCTAGCAACACGAGAATTTTCTATCTTTTTCTCCAAGAATCGATAGGCGCTGATTGGATAGGAAATTAGCCAATCAGCGCGCAACTAATGTAGTCATACTTTGTTTCCATCTATGTGCCCCTAACACAGGATATCTACTGTGCACATAAGAATTCATGTTTTAGTGAGCACATGACATCAAGGGGTATTTGCAATCTTTAGGGAAATGATGCTTATTTGTAACATTCGAATCCAAGACATTCGTCTTGATAGTCTGAGATGTGATCAGTGATTAGCTGACGATATTGCTGTACCTACTTTTACTAGCTCTAACAATATGAGATTTGAATCGACAATTGCATCTCTGGCAAGGCAACTGATGTATGTACGACGTTCTAAGTTGTAACTTACTGACTGCCAACTGATACGAATCACTTGATATTTCAGTATATTGCATTACTATGTTCAGTCATTTAGAAGAACAACTGTACTAAAAATTGATTGACCGAATTCAGCTAGTATTACAAAACTTAACGAACGTTATATTTGATCAAGGCAAGTAGTATTGTAGTGAAGGAGAACACAGGTGGGGCGACCGAATTGATTTAACAAAAATTACACAGTTACTCAGTGAAATAGGAAAACCATATCGTAAATCGTTAATTTGTAAATCTTCAATCAATCATCAATCCATTGTCTGACATTTCACTATTCATGTGTTTCATACAAATTCCATTGTGTTCCCACTCCAGTGTGTTCCCACTTGATCTTCCCCCATCTTCTGCTGCCAGACATTACGTTTTCACTCGTGTCATATACTACTTATAAGTAGCGCGCACTACAGTATTAGTAGTAGAAGAAGAGTAGTAAAGTAATCATGGAGTAGTTATCTAGATGAATACTGACATATATATATATATATATATATATATATATATATATATATACCTCAACCAAACTACGATAATTCGCGACAATCATCCATTGTCTGTGATGGGTAACAGTCTCACACTCAGCATAGTTGAACTCCACTGGACATGGTTTCTCATTAGAAACCTAAGAAATCGCTGACAAAACTAGTCACTAGTGTAGACCTCAAATCACTAGACTATCGTTTTGTCCTTGTATTGGATTTCTCATGTACTCAAATCGGTTCACGCGTGAATGATCGCTAGGTGAGCACTGTTGATGGGTCCCACAAATGGGTCGAGTACAACCTTCCAGTGATTCCAGGGTTCAGTCGAGCTTCTACCAGTGACCGATCCGTTATTTCTATGAAAGTAAACAATCTCCATAATTTTATACTGGTTATACAATTTGTTGAATGAGACGTTGAATGAGACCTTAGCCGAATTTTCTCCACCATCTGACTGAGACGTGTAACTAAGATTTACTGAGGTTTTTACGAGAAAGTAAAAATTCCTCTGAAGGACAGGAATCGAATAAAAACTATGAATATCCATAATTGGAAACGATCATTACAATAAAACCGATTCAACATCAAGAACTAATATTTTCACTTTCTAAAATATATTTCAAATGATAGATACTACTGAAATGACACAAGTAGTATAAAATATAGTACGCAAAAATGAAATTGAAAAGCCGAAAGTATTCGGAAGTCATTTTGTTCTTGTATGGAGAACTCCTCAGTAGTGCACATCTACAATCCCTCACTTGTGATAATAATCTGCGAAATCTTTTATCGTGAATAACTTCTTGATTGCTAAATGAAGATTTAACACTGATCGGTTCATGACACCACAATAAATATCATCATTTCGTTTTTTTTTGTTTTTCGACATAAACTACTTATTTCTATCAGCTACTACAAATTCCCCTGAATCGGATGAATCTAATCAAACTGAAAAAGAAAATCAAAATGTCATAACAAAAACTGGTAAGTTGTTGGATGAATGACACTTGGAAAACTTTCATTACGTTTAATACAAAGTAAAACGTTGCTATTGATTTTATCTGTTTCACTAAAGTTAATCAATAGAAATGACTTTGTGATATGATGTGTGACGTTTCAGATGTGTGTTAGATCACTATAGGAGACTTGGAAGCAATACAGGTGCGTTTTTTCCTAGTGAGTTAACTCATCAGAAGTGTGCATCCATGGTCACGCAGGCGGAAGTCTAACTGCTGAATCTTCGGTATAGCATGTGAACGTCTAAGCAGGTTTCTAACTTTGGTCATGATTAAAATGAAAACCAACAGTCTGTATAACCATTCACTGATAAATATCGTTTGCTCACCAGTGACTAGCTTCACAATGGAATTTTCGCTGTTTTGGTAATAAGCCAAAGTTAAATGGAGTTCAGTAGTGTTAAGTAAGAGACAATTATTCACTAAAGATAGTGTTCGAAGTCACGCAGTATCGTAGATTGACTTGATCTAAGCATCAGCAACATTGGATGCCACTTCAGTAGTCAAGAGATTAGGTGATCGCGAAAAAAAACCGAAAGAATTGGGTTCGGTTCTCGCTCTTGGAGTCACAGATGCGAACTGTCACTTATAAATCCCCTACTAGGAAGAAACTGCTGTCCAGTAATGTTGGTCTAGATTTAATCAGTTCATGATCTAGTTTATTTCACAAGCTATCATGAATTCTCATATGATATATTTTGAAATGAGATTACTTACTCACAGCTCCGTCTTACTTTATGACTGTGAAACATGGCCAGTGAGAGTAGAAGATATTCGTCGGTTATTGGTTGGTTCGATCATAGGTGTCTTCAAAGCATTGCTCGTATATCCTGGGACACCCGAGTGAGCAACGCTGTTGTTAGGAAACGGGTGCTAGGTAAGAACGGAAGATAAATAGATGCAGTAATCGAACTTCATCAGTTGAGGTGGTTGGGACATGCCTAACCACCGACTGCCTCAACGAGCTATGTTTTGTAGTGTAGGAGTAGGTTGGAAGAAAGTTAGGGGCGGCCAGACCGAAACATGTCACAAATCCATGATGTCACTGACAAACCTACTGAGTCATGTTGGTAGATGTAGACTATTTAGTTGAGATCTTGAATGACATGGCTCAAAACCGTTTATAATGGCTCAGATACATTCATTCGTTGTGTACTCTCAAATCCTAATCTTCTGGATTCTTCAACACCTCTAGTTTTGTCTTTCTAAACTTATCTCACTGAATCATACTTCTTGAATAATATCTTCTAATCCTAACCTCTCCGATTACTTCTAATACCTTTAATACCGCTACTACTATTGGATTTGAATTGACAATTATATCTCTGTACTGATGTGGTATGGCAACATGAACTGATGTACTTGCGTACGAAGTTCTACGTTGCATCTGACTGACTTACTCACTTACTTACGTCTGTTAACCCCTCCCCTAATGGAGCACAGGTCATCGACGAGTATTCTACAGCCTATTCTCTCCTGCGCCTTCTTTTCTAGCTCCATCCATATCTGTTTCCGTTTCTTGGCGCAATCTGTTCCATGGCTTTCTTCTTTTCCATTGTCTTTGAAGATCCCATGTGAGAGCTTGTCTTATTGTGGGATTAAATACTTTCCTAAATGAGTGTCCTATCTACTTCCAGCGCTTCTTCCTGATTTCTTCCTCCTCTGGAATCTGGTTTGGTTGTTGTTAATTGGATCTGGCCAACGGATCCGCATTCTGTTGTGTAGACAGCTGTTGATAAACACTTGCTTCTTCTGGCTTTGATAGTTCTCCAAGTGTGTTCAATTCCAGATGTTCTTCAATTGTAGAAATTCTGCCCTGGAGCCCGAACTCCACCTGAACTCCCTCTGAGGCTATTGCCGGTCTCATGACCGGATGGTTTGATCATAGGGTTAGCGACTCCATCCCATAGAAACCTACTAACTCGCATTCAAAATAAAAACGCTAACCAGAAGAAAAAAATAATCCCAACCTTAAAACGAAATAGTATTGTAGCGAACGAGAACACACGTGGGGCAACTGAATGGTATTTAACGAAAACTACAGAGTTACTCAGCAAAATCGGAAAACCGTATCGTAAAACGTTAATTTGCAAAATATCAATCCATCATTTCGAACTGGACTGTTCCTGTTGCAAAATATCAATCCATTGTCACTATTCATGCCTTTCATACAAATTCCATTTTGTTCTAACTCTTCCTTTCTTGATCTTGCCCCATCTTCTGCTACCAGACATTACGTTGACACTCACGTCATATACTACTTATAAGTAGCTCACACCACAGTATGTCTTAAACCTTATTCACACATATTAATCCAACAGTATTTACAATGTTCAATTTGAAATTAGTATAGTCGTTAATACCGTTTATGTTCAATGTGTTTTTATTGATAACATTTGTTTTATTGTGCAGATAATCACTTTTTTGGTAATTCACCAGTTAAAGAAAATAAATATGAAGATTTGTCACCCGAATCAATTGTCACATGTAAATAAGAAATATTTTTATTCAAAATCAAAATAATTTTACCAAAAAATGTGTTAATATTTGTTCATATTTTATTTCAACTATAAGAAATTTTTATGATTCTAATTAGAGGCCACCATTAGGAGCTTGGAAGCGCTGGACGGCTGTTTCGTCCCTGCATGGGACTCATCAGCATTGCACATCCACGAACCAACCACATAAGAATCGAACACAAGATGTTCGGTCTCGTGAAGCGGACGTTTAACCTGTAGACCACTGAGCCAACCTTCAGTAATGTTAATGTCTAACTTTAATCAATCTGAGGTATTCCGTATCTTCACTCATTGTCTTCGGTGCTTAACTGATACATCCGAAAGGGTTGAAATAAACTGGTTGCCTGACCTCTGTAAGGATATTCATCCAATATCCTAAGAGAATTATTGGTCAATTCCTATTGGTTAATTCCTAATGGTCAATTTTATGGTCGTCCTAGTAAATATCATAATTAGAATCATAAAAATTTCTTATAGCTGAAATAAAATATAAACAAATATTAACACATTTTTTTGGTAAAATTATTTTGATTTTGAATAAAAATATTTCTTATTTACATGTGACAATTGAATCGGGTGACAAATCTTCATATTTATTTTCTTTAACTGGTGAATTACCGAAAAAGTGATTATCTGCACAATAAAACAAATGTTATCAATGAAAACACATTGAACATAAACGGTATTAACGACTACACTCATTTCAAATTGAACATTGTAAATACTGTTGTATTAATATGTGTGAATAAGGTTTAAGACATACTGTGGTGCGCGCTACTTATAAGTAGTATATGACGTGAGTGTCAACGTAATGTCTGGCAGCAGAACATGGGGGAAGATCAAGAAAGGAAGAGTTCGAAAACAATGGAATTTGTATGAAATGCATGAATAAGTGACAATGGATTGATGTTTTGCAACAGGAACAGTTCAGTTCGATATGATGGACTGATATTTTGCAAATTAACGATTTACGATATGGTTTTCCTACTTCATTGAGTAACTCTGTAATTTTCGTTAGATACAAACCGGTTGCCCCACCTTTGTTCTCGTTCACTACAATACTATTTCGTTTCAAGGTTGGGACATTTTTTTTTCCTGGTTGGCGTCTTTTTGTAGGTGAGTCAGTAGTTTCTTACGGGATGGAGTTGCTGACCACATGACCAAACCCTCCACCTTTATCCGGTCTTGAGACCGGCAATAACCGGAGAGGGAGTTCAGGTGGAGTTCAATCTCCAGGGCAGAATTTCTACAATTGAAGAACATCTAGAATCGAAAACAAATGAATAACTACGAAAGCTATCATCCACAAGATACAAGTCTTGTTTACAGTATTCTACACAAGATACTGAAAATCTGTTGACCTCATACCGTTACCAACAACCTTCTATGGGAGAGAACAAACTATATTCCAGAGGAAGGAGAAATCAGGAAGAGGCACTGAAGGTGGATAGGATACAAATTAAGGAAAGGTCCCAACTGCGTCACAAGACAATCCCCGGCTTGGAATCTTCAAGGATAAAGGAAAAGAGGAAAACCAAAGAACAGATTGCGCCAAGAAACGGAAACAGACATGGATGGAGCTAGAAAAGAAGGGGCATGACAGAATAGGCTATAGAATACTGGTCAGTAACCTATGCTCCATTAAGGGAGGGGTTTACAGACGTAAGTAAGTAAGTCAGTCAGTCAGATGCAACGTAGAACTTCGTACGTACGTACGTACATCAGTTCATGTCGCCATACCCCATCAGCACACAGAGATGTAATTGTCAATTCAAATCCAATAGTAGAAGAGTTCGTAAGGGTATCAGAAGTAATCGGAGAGATTAGGGCTCGAGTATATTATTCAAGAAGTATGATTCAGTGAGATAAGTTTAAGAAAGACAAAACTAGAGGTGTTGAAGAATCCAGAAGATTAAGATTTGAGAGAACACAAAGAATAAATGCACAGTCGCGATTGCAAATGATTCTGAGCCATGTCATTCAGGGTCTCTAACCATCGATTATTATCATCTCACGGACCCCAATCAGGTAATCGACAACTACCGACATGGCTAAGTCCACTCGTCAATGACTTCATGGATTTCTGTCATGTTTTACTTTGGCCTCCCCTAACTTTCTTCTAACCTATTCCTACACTACAAAACAAAGCTCGTCGGGGCAGTCGGTGGTTAGGCATACGCAACACATGTCCCGACCACCTCAACTGATGAAGTTTCACCACTGCATCTATTGATCTGCCATCCCTACCTAGCCGCCGTTTCTTAATAGCAGCGTTGCTCACTCGGGTGTCCCAGAATATACGAGCAATGCATCAAAGACACCTATGATTGAAAACCAGTAACCTGAGAATATCTTCTACTCTCACTGGCCATGTTTCACAGCCATAAAGTAATATGGAGCTGTGAGTAAGTAACCTCATTTAAAAATATATCATATGAGAATTCATGATAGTTTGTGAAATAAACTACATCATGAATTGATTATAGCTAGACCAACATTACTGGACGGCAGTTTCTTCCTAGTATGGGGTTGATCAGTGGCATTGCACATCCACGACTCCAAGAGCGAGAACCGAACCCAATTCTTCCGGTTTTTTTCGCGATCACCGAATCTCTTGACTACTGAACTAGGTTCCAGTGTTGCTGATGCTTAAATTCAGTCAATCTATGATACTGCGTGACTTCGAACACTATCTTTAGTGAATAATTGTCTCTTACTTAACACTACTGAACTCCACTTAACTTTGGCTTATCACCAAAACAGCGAAAATTCCTTTGTGAAACTAGTTACTGGTGAGCAAATGATACTTATCAATAAATGGTTGAAGAGAATGTTGAATTTCATTGTAATCATGACCAAAGTTGGAAACCTGTTTAGCCGGTCTCAGGGGTTAGACTTCCGCCTGCGTGACCATGGATACGCACTTCTGATCAGTCTCCATACTAAGACAAAACGCACTTCTTTTGCTTCCAAGTTTCCCATAGTGGTCTAACACACATCTGAAACATCACCCATCATACCACAAAATCATTTCTATTGATTAACTTTAGTAAAACAGATAAAATCGATCACGACGTTTTACTTTGTATTAAACGTAATGAAAGTTTTCCAAGTGTCATTCATCCAACAACTTACCAGTTTTTGTTATGACATTTTGATTTTCTTTTTCAGTTTGATTAGATTCATCCGATTCAGGGGAATTTGTAGTTGCTGATAGAAATAAGTAGTTTATGTCGAAAAACAAAAAAAAACGAAATGATGATATTTAGTGTGGTGTCATGAACCGATCAGTGTTAAATCTTCATTTAGCAATCAAGAAGTTATTCACGATAAAAGATTTCGCAGATTATTATCACAAGTGAGGGATTGTAGATGTGCACTACTGAGGAGTTCTCCATACAAGAACAAAATGACTTCCGAATACTTTCGGCTTTTCAATTTCATTTTTGCGTACTATATTTTATACTACTTGTGTCATTTCAGTAGTATCTATCATTTGAAATATATTTTAGAAAGTGAAAATATTAGTTCTTGATGTTGAATCGGTTTTATTGTAATGATCGTTTCCAATTATGGATATTCATAGTTTTTATTCGATTCCTGTCCTTCAGAGGAATTTTTACTTTCTCGTAAAAACCTCAGTAAATCTTAGTTACACGTCTCAGTCAGATGGTGGAGAAAATTCGGCTAAGGTCTCATTCAACGTCTCATTCAACAAATTGTATAACCAGTATAAAATTATGGAGATTGTTTACTTTCATAGAAATAACGGATCGGTCACTGGTAGAAGCTCGACTGAACCCTGGAATCACTGGAAGGTTGTACTCGACCCATTTGTGGGACCCATCAACAGTGCTCACCTAGCGATCATTCACGCGTGAACCGATTTGAGTACATGAGAAATCCAATACAAGGACAAAACGATAGTCTAGTGATTTGAGGTCTACACTAGTGACTAGTTTTGTCAGCGATTTCTTAGGTTTCTAATGAGAAACCATGTCCAGTGGAGTTCAACTATGCTGAGTGTGAGACTGTTACCCATCACAGACAATGGATGATTGTCGCGAATTATCGTAGTTTGGTTGAGGTATATATATATATATATATATATATATATATATATATGTCAGTATTCATCTAGATAACTACTCCATGATTACTTTACTACTCTTCTTCTACTACTAATACTGTAGTGCGCGCTACTTATAAGTAGTATATGACACGAGTGAAAACGTAATGTCTGGCAGCAGAAGATGGGGGAAGATCAAGTGGGAACACACTGGAGTGGGAACACAATGGAATTTGTATGAAACACATGAATAGTGAAATGTCAGACAATGGATTGATGATTGATTGAAGATTTACAAATTAACGATTTACGATATGGTTTTCCTATTTCACTGAGTAACTGTGTAATTTTTGTTAAATCAATTCGGTCGCCCCACCTGTGTTCTCCTTCACTACAATACTACTTGCCTTGATCAAATATAACGTTCGTTAAGTTTTGTAATACTAGCTGAATTCGGTCAATCAATTTTTAGTACAGTTGTTCTTCTAAATGACTGAACATAGTAATGCAATATACTGAAATATCAAGTGATTCGTATCAGTTGGCAGTCAGTAAGTTACAACTTAGAACGTCGTACATACATCAGTTGCCTTGCCAGAGATGCAATTGTCGATTCAAATCTCATATTGTTAGAGCTAGTAAAAGTAGGTACAGCAATATCGTCAGCTAATCACTGATCACATCTCAGACTATCAAGACGAATGTCTTGGATTCGAATGTTACAAATAAGCATCATTTCCCTAAAGATTGCAAATACCCCTTGATGTCATGTGCTCACTAAAACATGAATTCTTATGTGCACAGTAGATATCCTGTGTTAGGGGCACATAGATGGAAACAAAGTATGACTACATTAGTTGCGCGCTGATTGGCTAATTTCCTATCCAATCAGCGCCTATCGATTCTT